ATATTATGCCGTGGCAATAGTACACAGTGCCCCTTTTCACGTCTTCCCTCCCTTTGCATCCCCCAGAATTTTCCTATCAGCACAAGAGAAAAATTTGGATGAGTTTCACAAAGCGGGCAGGGGTACTCCATCTACAGTAATGCCCTAGGCTTTTTTTTCAAGAGAAATATCTCTAAAATCTACAAAGGCATAAATTTACAAATCCTGCTCATGTTGCATGCCACTTAGAGAAATGGACAGGGCCCAGTGGAGTTTGAGGCCAGGCCAGCTACACAGAGCCAGACAAAGTGTCATTCGAAAAAAGGTAAGAAAATAACGCTTCCCATCCATTATTCCATGAGGTATAAAAGACAAGCCTGATGAGAAGAGATTTTACACTCAAGCCCTAGGAAAGATGCAAGGGAAAGCAAAATGCAATTGATATTAGAATAGCAGTAGAGACCGAGAGATTTAGGGTAGCATCTACCAGAAAAGTGCATGAAATATTGGAGTCAAAATGTCATAGGAGGTTGTAGAGTTTCTGAAGAGATGACTAAAATATTGCAGCAAAGAGCTGCAGAGAACACCAGCTGGAGAAGAATAAAAAAAATGTGAAGAATAAAAAAAAGGAAGTTCACATAGCAGTTGCTAAAAAAACCCCCACAGGTTTGGTGTTTATGCCAAGTAAATAAGTAGCACAATGAACAGTATGAATACATGATATTAAAGTTTGGGAGAAGCTGTTGCTCATGGATAGCACATGTAAAATCTTAAACTTAGCTGAATGATCCAGCTCTGCAGCAAGAACCACCACAGCAGGATCTGCTGCCATCCAGCTTAGTTATTAACACAGCAATAATTCAAAAATTTTGATGTAGGCCACATTTTCTTATTTAGCAGCACAGCTGTTTAAGCTGCCCTTATCTCCCTGCTGATTCCAGCCCCATCCCTTTCCCTGATTATGCTGGTACAGCTACTGTACACCCATGCAGCATGACAGGAGGGAATGATCCAAGTGAAAAAGAACCAGGCTCTGTACCCCTCACCCGGCTGGATCATTTCCCCTTGCAGTAGTCCAAGCATTTGTCCCAGTCCAATGGAAAAGACACGGATGATGCCTTTGGCCAATATTACTGCCAAAAATTCCTACCTGGAACTATGGTCTCAGTTCATCAGGTAGTAGATAAGCATCAAAAATTCCTGGATTTCTCAGGCTACCTGCTCTTTTCTAAGTTTAGAAATCTATCTGAAAAAGTTTCTGTCAAAAGAGGGAGATACAACCCAGCCTTAGTTCTTCCAAATGCAGGGGAAAAAAGGTTTCCTAATAATCTCATTGACCAAACAGGCCAACAGAACAACACTTAAAGATGATTTTTACATATCCTTTGAACTCTCCCCTCCAAAAAGTGTGAAAACATCAAGGGTAGACATTTTTGTTTCAGTTTCCTGCATGAATGCAGCTTCAAAGTAGTTCATTATAAATAAAGCTTCCTGCAACTGTGTCTAAAGTAGCTAGTGTAGTCTCTGTCAGAGAACAACTGAAAAGTAACAAAATCTAGAACAGCAATTGGCAGGACTTTCCTATCTTTGGAACTATTTTTCCATCTTTCACTTAACGGCCTTAAATTACGACAAATATAAAATCTCACAATATTCTCAGGAGAAAAATAGGAATGCTTATTATCTTAAGACAATCTCTCCTGTACCCCTCTGCATTTTGCTCAGAATCACTGCGAGTACCCAACAAGCATCTGTGCTGCTTTAAACCTGTATGTATGTATATGTTTATATGTTACATAAACCATATATATGCATCTAAACAGGAACATGCTTCCTCCAAATTCTTTACCCTCTCACCTTTAAGTGGCTCTTACACCACCTAGTTTTCTATTCTTTCCACTTCACACATAATACTCTAAATCCAGCAGGAAAAAAAAAGAGAAAATCCTTGGCTGTTTTCAAGTGCTTGTTTTACCAACTAGAGCCTGGCACATCTTCACCTCCTGCACAGCTGATATGGCTGTTTTAGAAACGTGGAAAAATGGAAGGTGCTGTATTTGTTCTCACTCACCTTTTTAACCGCAGCACAATCAAGTGATTTAAAAGTTCTAAAGAACAAAATAGGTATCAATGTCTTAATGCTGGGAGATGTACATAGACCATTAATGGCAGGCTGCTCAGGTTTCATAATCACCATGAAATATGACCTCACAGACTGCAGATGAATCAACACAATTTTTGATTCAGAGGAAAAAAAAAATAAAATCACTGCCTAGTCATGAAACCTTAACTGTATGTAGGCAGGGTACCTGGGAGCTCAAACCAAATTCAGTAGGGTTGTTTCTGTAGATGAGGATTGCTGTCACGTCCCATGAAACTAACTTTAGTTAGATTAGTGGCAGAAAGCTAGCACAGCCTTCTCACAGCACAAAGGCCTTGAGAAGTGTGGCATGAGTAACTGATCTCCACTTGCTTCCAGAGATCCGAAAATAGAGGTGAAGTGTGAATACCCCATTTGTTTCAAAAGAGTGCCAACAGAAATTCCTAGTGAGGGCCTTGTCTGCTATCAAAATCTGCACCTACAGAGCTGTAGCTGCACTTAGGCATGAAGAGCTGTTCGCTTCTTACTGCAGCAGAACAGTTACTTTGCAGAATAAGATCTACAGAATATTTTATATTTGACATCAGTACCAGCAATAGCTACACTGGTGCAGGTTTCCAAGAAACAGACAGTTCGATGACTTGACAGTCTAAATGAGATGTTTCTAAATTTTCTATATCAGCAAACTCCTCTCCCCTTTCAGACCTTTGGGTTTTGGGTTTTTTTTTGTTGTTTTTGCTAGTTTCTTTCTTTTTTAATGACCAGAAGTATGAGAGGAAAAAAAAAATCAGATGCAGACCATTTATTACAGATCCAGACACCATGCTGAGAGTGCTAATCTGAATACTGGTGCTATATCAATTAAATGAAAGCATTAAAAATGATTACATTCTTCTTTCCTACATGCAACTATTTCATTTTAGGTCACCTGTAAGTGATACTTAGCACATACACAACCAAGTCTCTGTTCTCTTTTCTCTCTGACCTGTGAGGTTACAAAGCTGGTGAGGAAATGCAGAGATCTGTGTCAGAAAATAGGGATCTGAGTCTTCCTCTCAATTATGAAATAAAATAAAATGTTGTGTTTCTAAAAATACAAAAACCCAAGGATTTTCTGTCCCATTTTTGTATTTAAAATGTAGTGCATCCATCAAACCAAGAATGAATGAAATACATCAATGCTTATACTCTCTTTAATCATTATAAACAGCTATATTGCTTACTAAAGTCATTAGATGTCTATTAATCAATTACAACTTTAGAAACCCTCTTCTCATGTTGGTATTATTCAGAGTGATGTAGAGCACTTTTGGCCTTCACTTCAAAAGAAGCAGTGAAAGAAAACAGAATTTCACAGACAAAGAAAATGGACCTATCTACACATGTGAATCAGAAATATTAATTTTGAATAAAAACCTATTTCCGTGACTTTGCATTTTACTGTATAAATCCACATTTGTTGATCCAGGGAAAGGATGCAATTAGAGTCTCAAAATTCTTGTATTCTGAAACAGTGCTTAGTGGTCACAATGTGACTAAACAGAGATATGTGATATTCCTAAATAAGTCTCTGATCCTTTATTTAAGAACTAGGGAACTCATTTCTAACCCCAGGAAAAAAAAAAGACAGGTGTTATTCCAGAAGCAGATTATGTGCAGGCATTTCAATATTTAAGAGGGAGAAACAAAAATTTAAAAAATGTTTTGAGAAGAAAAGTCATATTACCAATAAAAATTTGTTATCCTTGTATACGTTTAAGAGGTGTAATAACTTATGCTCAAAAAGTTTTTTAAGACTGCCATGTCGTCTTTACTTACTACAGTACACAAAAATGCAGATATCCAGGATTTGAAAGTAGAAATAAAGTCAAAACACTGTCTTCTACTCTAGGCAAGAAAATGGGAAAAAAGGCCCCACAGCTGCAGCAAGGCAAGCCTGGTGTAAGGTGGAGAAAGGCAGCTGAGCTGACATTTGCTACTAAAGCTGGGATAGAGGTCAAATCCTGCTCGCTGTGCAGCACCCGAGTCTGTGGAAAACTGGCAAAAGCAAATCCCAAACCGAGATTTACCAGCCGCGGCCAGGCTCAAGTTCACTTTGGGTTAAAAATACTGACAGGGGAGAAGCGGCGCGGCCGGAGGGAACCGTATCCCTGATACGTGACCTGCGCGCCGGGCTCGGGCTGTGCCCGTGGGTCCTGCCCGGAGCGCGGTGTTGGGTGACCGAGCCCCGCTGCCCGGCGCGGCCTCCCGGAGACGGAGTAACAGCGAACCACCAGACCAAGCGCTGCCCCAGCTTCCGAGCACAGATTTTATTAAAGGCTTCTCGTCACAGCGCCGGGGAGCGCCCCGCGCCCTCGTGTCCATCGCGGCGGGAGTCTGTTTGTTTATCCGTGCGGCGCGCTCAGGGCGTGGGGCGAGCGGAGCTCCGGCGGGCGCGGGGGGCCCGCGGCGGCCCCGCGGGAGGGTCCCCGGAGCCCGGCGGGGCCGGGGGGCGGCCGCGGGGGAGCGGGAGCCGGAGCGCAGCCGGCGGGGCGGGGAGGGGGCGCGGGCGGGAGCGCGGCCGCCCCCCGCCGCCGCTCCCCCTCGTCGTCGTCCTCCGCCGCCTCCTCCGGGGGCCGGGGGGCGCGGCGCCCCTTCCCCGCCGCGCTGAGCGCCGCCGCTGGCTGCCGGCAGAGCCGCCGCCCGGCCGTGGCGGCCGCCGCCGGGCCGGCTCCCATCCGCCATTATCCTTTGTTCGCGGCGCGGCGGCGGCGGGGATGTTGCAGGGCTCGGCTCCATCTTTAAGGCGGGCGCCCCTCCCGCGGGCGGTGCGCGGCCGGGCCCCCGCGTCCTGCCGCCCGGCGGCTCCCCTGGTCCCCGTCGGGCTCCATTTCCTTCCCTCCCCCCCGCCCCTGTTTGCTGGGCGCCGTCCTCCTCTTACCGGTTACCAGGCTGCTCCGTCACTGCTTTCGTTCGCGCCTGGGATCTCGCCGCAGTTTTATTCTCTCCCCCACGTAACACACCGCGTCAAACTACACCTCCGCCGCGTCACTCACACACACAGGCGCTCCCAGCCCGGCGACAGGCAGGCAGCGGCCGACTGAGGAGCGCCAGCCAGGGAGCAAGCGCCGAGCGCGCCCGGCCCCGCACGGAAACCGCCGAGCGCTCACGGAAAGCACCGAGCGCCCGGCAGGCGGCGGGAACGGCCGATCGCGACGCCGGCCCCCGCGGAAACAGCCGAGCGGCCGCGGAAACGAACGAAGCGCCCCGGAGGGGGAGGCGGAAAGAGCCGAGCGGGCGGCGGGAAGGCGCGAGCGGCGCTTCCGCCCCGGGGCGGCCCCGCGCGGGAAGCGCTGAGCGGGGCTCTGCGGGGGCGCCCCCCCCGGGCGCGCGCGCGCGGCCGAAGCGTCTCGAGCGCGCGCCCAGCTCCCCTCGGACCTCCGGGGACGCGGCCCCCCCGCCCCTGTTCACCACGGAATCACAGGATCGGTTAGGTTGGAAGAGATCTCTGAGATCATCGAGTCCAACCCACGGCCGAACACGACCCTGTCAACCAGATCGTGGCACTGAGTGCCACATCCGATCTTCCTTCAAACACTTCAGGGCTGGTGACTCCACCACCCTCCTGGATAGTCTGTTCCAATGTCTAATCACCCTTTCTGTGAAGAAATTCTTCCTAATGTCCAACCTAAACCTCCGCTGGTGCAGCTTAAGACTGTGTCCTCTTGTCCTGTCACTTGTTACCTGGGGGAAGAGGCCGACCCCCACCTGGCTACAACATTTCAGGTAGTTGTAGGGGGTGATAAGGCCCCCCCCCCAAGAGCCTCATCTTCTCCAGGCTAAACAACTCCAGCTCCCTCAGCCGCTCCTCATAGGACTTGTGCTCCAGACCCTTCACCAGTTCCATTGCCCTTCTCTGGACCCGTTCCAGCACCTCAATATCCTTCCAGAATTGAGGGGCCCAGAACTGGACACAGTACTCAAGGTGTGGCCTCACCAGCGCCGAGGGCAGGGTGACAATATCTGCCCTGGTTCTGCTGGCCACACTCTTCCTGATACAGGCCAGGATGCCACTGGCCTTCTTGGCCACCTGGACACACTGCTGGCTCACGTTCAGCTGCTATCAACCAAAACCTCATGGTCCTTTTCTTCCAAGCAGTTTTCCAGCCACTCTGCCCCCAGCCTGTAACACCACCTGGATTACCGTGACCCAAGTCCAGGACCCAGCACTCAGTCTCGCTGAACTTTATGCCTTTGGTCTCGGCCCACTAATCCAGCCTGTTCAGATCCCTCTGCAGAGCCTTCCTATCCTCCCACCTAACTTGGTGTTGTTGTGACTTGCTAATGGCACACTCAATCCCCTCATCCACATCAACAATAAAGACATTGAATAGGACTGGGCCCAACACTGATCCTGGGGGACATCCCTAATGACTGGCCGCCAGCTGGTTGCAGTATCATTCACCACCACTCTCTGGACCCAGCCATCCATCCAGCTCTTAATCCAGCAAAGAGTGCACCAGTCCAAGCTGTGGGCTGCCAGCTTTTCCAGGAGTATGCTGTGGGAAATGGTGTTAAAGGACCTGGCATGTCCCTGCACACACACACGGGCAACACGGGGGACCCTCTGCCCCAGGCCCAAGGGGATCCCCTCTTGTGGTGCCCCACTGCTGGAGAAGACCCCTTTCCTTGGCCCCCAGTGTCATCCCAAGACCCAACCGCCCCATCCCTTCTCTGTGGCTGAGGTGGCGGTTTGCACACTTGGCACCAGCCCCCCTGCTTTGTCACCTCTTAGGAGAGACAGAGGTTGTCACCCCGGGGCAAGCGACATGGTATGGGTTTGTGTCGTCAGAGAAAAGGAGCTGTGGTCCTCAGTCTCATCTGCAATGCCAGCGTGATATCTGTTGTGGGGGTTTTAAACATTGGGTAGGTGAACTGTTTCTAGGAAAGGTTTTTCAAATAGTTGAGGCCACCAGGGAGCAGGGAAAGAACCAGTGGTGCTCCAGCTGGGTGAGTCCATCCCAATCTTCTCCAGTTCACAAACACAGCTGAAAGCACTTGATCATACACCCTGAAGAATGGACTGCTCTAACTACAATCAGATAAAAACTACCCATATCCAAAGAAGCTGCTTTTCATTTCCCAAGACCTCAAGATGGCACTACATAACAAGATTTGAAGCTCTAAATCTGGTTCATTTTTGCAGCTGGCCTGGCACGGCACCGGTGCCAGGTGCACCGCGTCGCATGGCACTGGTGTGCTGTTTAGTTCAGTTCATGTCAAGTATTGTTTTCTCAAGAACATTGAACTTATTTCACTTATGCTGAATGTCAACTATCTCCACCAAAATTTACAAGAGATGGCACAGAGAGCAATTACAGCTTTACTTTGCCTTTGATTTTGTTGATTACAGTTATTCTAAAATAAATTGAAAAGAATCCACTTTTCATATTTAGAAAAAAAAAAGGTAGCTCAGATGAAACAGCTAAAACATTGTTTCATTGACAACACATGCTATGGCTTGGGCCACAGCTCATTTTCTGCTTCAGCTATACTGTTTCTCTCGGCCCTTCCTGCAGATAGGAGCTCCAAGGTTGCAGCACGGTGTAGTCTTGGCTGCCATCCGCTTCTCCTCCCAGGTGTTGTGGACCTGTGCCATGCCTTTGGCTCAGACCAAATCCTGTCTGCAGTGTACAGCTGGTACAATTTTTGGAAATTAATTTCCCTTTTAGACTCTGCTAGGATATGAAAATCTCCATCCACTAAATAAGTCTTTCACAACTGCTATTGGGAGCAGAATGTTTCTACCCTTTAAACCTTTGAGACAGGAGAGAAATCTAAAATCAATGTTCCTAACTTGGTCTATTCATTGACGGTGAATGGAAAAGCTTCTCACTTCAAATCATCAGTAGAGGTGCAAAAGGTTTGTGTCACCATCATGTCCTTGTCATTTCACTAGATACTGAGGTAGAGGGTTGTTTTCGATAGTGTTTTGACATTTGAACTCCAGTCACATTGCACAGGATTTTAATATTGTAATGTATGTTTAATAAAGTATCTTCTATACATTTTGTTACCGTGTACACACGTAAATCGAACTAGGTAATTAAAAATATGTTCTAATTAATCTAAATTAGGACATTTTGCTAAAACTTCTGTGTTTCAAGGAGTGACTCTGAGACCAAAGTGTAATGATTCAGCCTTTGTGCTCCTTTTAGGAGGAGCAAAGTACTTTCTGGGAGAAAATATTTATAATGAGAGAACAAATGTAGCCATCTGAGTGTCTTGCTTGACTCATGGTTTTCTTTGTTTGTTTTCCCATCCTTCTCCTCACTCTTTGTGTTAATGCATCAGCTTTTTTTTGCTCCCATAAGTGAGCAAAATCACATTTATTCTCCACCCATGCATGTTTCCCAGAACTGGATTGCTTGCCCTTGTGCAAGAATCACAGCAAATCTTTAAGGGAATAAACTCTGGTCCTCAAAAGAACAAAGTGCACTAACTAGGTTTCAGTGAATGGCTTCCATCAGAAACCTGGGCAACGCTCTTGGCCTGAGTGATGAGAGTGGCGTTGGTGGTCCCCCAGACCAACCAGGACTGCCTTTATGTACCTTGTGCAGCTCCTTGTGCAGCTCTGATCCTGCTGCCTGTTTAGGGCTGATACTCTGGTGCCCTGCTGACTCTTGCCAGCTCTTCTCCCACTCACAGCTCCCTGGCCAACTCCTCAGCACTTCTCTGAAAGTCTGTCAGCCCACTGATGAATTTGAAAAGGGCATCTTGAGCGGTGGCAACTTCTCTGCCCGCCAGTGTAGGCTCCCCTCATAACAGACAGTTACTCAAGAAAGCAATTTATCTCAGACTAAAACAGATGCCTCAGATAGGCCAGATGTCTGAAGGGATTTGAGATTACACCCAATGTTGTGTGTCTTTGGTATCTCCACCTCTTGTGCCATCACTGAGGCTTAGACCATAGATGGATGGAAACTGGATTCATCCTAGACTCATACTTGCTCAGCGGGAGGGCTGGGTGAACATCTCATAGACAACTGCTGTGAAACCTTCTGACAGTTGTTTTGCATATTCCTTCTTCCCTTCTGAGCAAAACTAGGGCACTAAGCAAATCTGGAACTTTTTTGGGAGTGGGAGTGAAAGCCTAAGCTGCAAAACCCCCTTCCCTGACATTGACACCTTCCTTTTGGGTTGTGTCTTGGGGAATCTAGAAAATGGGAAAGTAACAGTGTGCCAATTACCCACAAAGCCCAACAGGAAGAGGCTGACTTGGGGAGTGAATTGGAATGCTCAGCAGTTCTCTCATTTTTCAGCACAAATTTGCTTGATGATGAGTGAAACCCAGCAAGATTAATTACTTTTCTTACGATTAAACCTCAGAGACAAATTCATTAATTTTGCAGCCTCGAGGTTGGTTACCCTGGGTAGTGGGTGTGCATACAGCATTGCAGTTTATTGCCCGTGGCCCAGGGTTTGTAGAGGCTCACAAGTGACATGTAGATCAAGGAAGGTTTGTGCTTGGCTGTGCGGTGTGGCAGAGCCACAATGTACATGAGTTAGTCTGGAGCAGTCAATGCTGCTGGCACTGGTAGCATGCAAGATAATATTTGTTGTGAAAACACAGACACACATGCATTTTCAGTCTACATAGAGCTGTAAAGATAGCAACACAAAAGTAGTTTTTACAGGCCATGGCCATCTTTGGGAATGATTTATAACAAAATAATCTTTCAGCATCAGACACTCGCTGACAATTTCTAGAGGGCCAGTGTGGTCTGGCAGTGCAGGGACACAGAGAGTATGTTTTGTACAAATATGACATTAAGCACAAGTATTGCTGGGGAGAAAAGAAGGCAGCATGTGCTCTGGGGTTTTGCAGCTGCATTCACTAATGGATATTCTCCCAAGGAAAGGGAGAGTATTTGCAAAAAATGAAAGTGGAAGGAGACAGATGTTACATTAGACAATAAAGCTTCCAACACTTTTCAGCGTACAGAGTATTCCATTGCAATTTCCATCCTATACAAATTGAGCAACTGATTTTAAAGCAGATGTAGGAGAAGGCAGGGGGTGCTTCCATACTCCTGTGATGGATGTGGCTATTCAGTAGCACAGACAAAGCTCTGAACCG